CTCTGTATGTCATCAAGTGCTTTTCATTTGCTAAGGCTTTGTGGGCCCTGTACCATCTTAGCTATTTAAAAGCTGTTTATTTGCAATTTGTAACTAAGAAAGCAGTCACTGATCTCTAGCATCAGATTTTGTGTGACTCTCTTCATACCCTGCAGATGTTTCTCACCACACACTGATACCTGAGGATATTATGATTGTCAAGAAGATTGGTGTGGATTTGATGCTTCAGCACCTCCCAGGACTGGGACACTCCTCAGCAGCACAGTCTGTGGGCAGCCAAGAGCAGCAGAGGTGGGAGATGAATAAAGAAGCACACCTTGTAATTCACCTTGATAATCAAAGCACTTTGGGCTCTCAAACTACAAAGGTGTGTCCACTGAGAAATTCACAAGTGGTGCCTGAAACTGTCAAGCTGTCAAGTCTGATTTTTGCTCCTCGATGTTTCCCTCCAAGCACAGAGTCCTGTGAGAAGCAGTGAGCAAGGAGCAGTGTCAGCTTGTGCCTGCTGCCTCAGAACATCTGAGCCTGGCTCGATCAAACCCAGCTGCTTCTCCTTTCTGGGATTGCCCTCCCTCCTGAATTTTGCCCTTTGCTCCCATTGCTCCTCAGAGGTTTCTCCACACCCTCCCTCCCTTTCTCCATTGCTGTTCTGCCAGGCTTTTCAGTCTATCCTTTTTCCACACAAAGTCATCAATGGGTAGCTTCTTCACAAATGATAAGATTGAAAAAAAAGTAAAATAACGTAAAAAATAAAATTAGGGACTTACCTGAGTAAGAATTAATTTTCGTTTCAAAGTTTATTCTGACTTCAATTATGCTGAGGAATTTGCTTTTTAAGAAGATTTTATAAAAGCTTTTCTGAGAATTTTTGTATGATGACAAAATAACTTCCACTCTGATAGAGTCTTATACAATTTCATATTTATCAGACACTGCTCTTGAAAACTTTGGGCAAATATCATTATCCCAGTCCTTTTTCCCCATTCTGGATTGCCAGCAACATTTTGGACTTGATCTTGAGAGGCCACCAGAGCGCTCAGTTACCCACAGCCTGCTCCCATGTGCTACAAAATTCCCCTAAGAGCTTCTTGTGTGAGTTCAAGCCCACCTGGAGATGCATTCCCTCCACAGCTCATTCAATCTCTCTCCAATTCCTCACATCCATCCTCCTATATTCTTCTAATTCTCTCTCTACAGGGTTGTCATTTTCCTCTATCCATGCACAGGTTTCCATCTGGAGCACCTTTTGAGAAATACCGCCCAGAGCTGTTTCTGTTCTGGATAAACATGGGTTGTTCTTTCAGCCCAGCACCTTATCTTTCTCTTGCTTCCCCTCATTGGCACCTTCTTCTAGGGTATCAAACATGACATGCCTTTATTTGCATTTTTGATCCATGAACATACTTATTCTATCTTTTCCTTCATTTTTTTTTATTAATTACCGAGGAGGCAGTACCTGCCTCCAGGTTTTCCAACAGCAATAGAACTTATAGAAAATCCACCCAGTTAAAGGTAATTGCTGCATCAATTTTTATAAAATAATAAATTGATAACAGTTTTGATTTCTTTCCTTAGTAACTGAGGAACACCTGAGAAACTCTGCTTCTTTCTTATGGGAACAGGACATTACAAAAGAGTTGACAATCTGACAACTTTCAGTGCAAGTTTTAAATAGCTTCAAGAACCTACAGTTTGCACTTCAATTCAGAAATTCATTGTATTCCACAGAACCAGACAATGTTTGCATGAAAAGGGCTACAAACATTTTAGAAGAGTTGACTTGATTAATATTTATGAATATCTTAAAGACATTACATATTGTACCAGCCCACATGCAGGGCAAGAATACAATATTTTACTGTTCACTGGGATTTTATCAGACATTAACACACACCTCTGCTATTCTGCAGAGCTTGACTCTTTAGCCACCCAAGAAGGTTAGTAACAAAGATAAATAAATCTAGTACATGCCATGAAATATCTTTGAGTAATTAGAGTATGGTCCTTAAAGGTACAGCATTACATCCTCAGCTTATTCAGGAAACTGGCAGGGATGCAGATTTTTGTCTGCTGTTTCAAATATTTGAGTCACCTGGCACCCACAGCTGCACTACACAGCTCTTCCCCAGCTCTCCAGTTTCTTACCACAAAGCCTCTAAGTATGACTACGACAAGAGACATTCTGACTCCCTCATTCCTTCACATCTAGAAAAGGCAAGCTGAAAAACATTGAATTTTTCAACAGTCACAGGAGCTTGAAACAGCTAATTCATCTGCAAAGCAATGTTCATCCAGACCACAGTAAAAACACAGGTTTTTTTTTTGAAGTTTGACCAAGAGTCACCTGAGTTTCAAAGAAGGAAGCACTGTTCTCCTCCCTCCTCCCAGCTGCCGCACACTGCAGATGACAGCACCTGTTTGAAGTTTTACTTTAAAATCTTAAGGCAATGCTTTACTCTCAGATCTGCAGGGAGCTGCTCTGCTCTCCCCATATGCACAAAGTCAGGCTGCTTGCCCTTCATCCCCTGTCCTGGGAGACAATGCAGGGAGAACACGTGGGGCACCCAGACCCTTTGTGCTGACCCAGGAGCGACACAGAGGCAGCCCTGGAGCCTCAGCACAGGCTCACCTCATCCTGCTTTGATTCCTCATTTCTGTAACACCTGGTCCAGAGCCTAAAACACACCTTTACCTTGCTATTGTTACTTCCCAGAACCAAGTCCTTTCATGGCTCTTGGAGACACTGTGAATATATAAACCCAAAAGCACTTTAGCTTCAAGTTTCTAGATCTTCCCAGCCACCAGTGATACTGGCAGCTTTACCCCTATTTACACAGTGGTGGCACAGAGACAACCTTGAGAAAGACCTTTCCTCATTTTGTGAGCACATAAACCCCCAGATTTCTGGGATTTTAAGTCCTTTGTATGTGCAAAAGTTAAATGGCCATGACAGCTCTCCTCAAATCATTCGTGCCTGGGTGCCAGGGTGTGGGTTACTGCATGATGCTGCACCAGATGATCTGACAGCACACTCACATGTGTTTAAAATCTAAACCTGATTTTACAGAGAGAGAAGAAACACAGAGGGGAAGTGATTTCACAGAGGACAAACAGGAAAGACTATAGAGTTATGGAAGTTCTACCCAGGTCACCATTAAATAACCCAGTGGCACAAAAATATTTTTCTTTTCCATTTCTGGGGTGAACATAATTTCGAATCTTTAAAATGGGAACAAAACTAGAAGTTATCTACATTTGATTCCAGAAAAAGAAAAAGAAATCTATTAGAACTCTTCATTTTTACTTAATTGGTTTTCCTTCTGGGCAAAACAGATATATAAAAGTCTCCTATCTAAGAAAATATATTAAAAAAAATTAAAAATATGATTAAATGTATTCTGCCACATTATATATTTTATGCAGTAACAGAAGACAATATTTTAACAGCACTGCTTTTGAATCACTCCAGAGCATTCAGCAGGAGTCAATTTATACTGCAAGAGAATAATGATGTACCTCGACTCATTTTAATTTCAATAATTGAATGAGAAATAGGAAAGCCTATTGAAAGGACTGTATTCTGGTCAAAGACTAATGAGAAAATAGTTTTGAGCCTCTGAGTCAGTGGGTGTCATGGTAACAATGCATTATCGAAATCTGATTAGTATGCCCAGCAGCTTTATAAATGATAACATGCTCTTCTAATTGTATTTCCCTTTCTTCCCCTGTGCTAAGTTTTATATTCACAACAGGTAAGAGGAAAAGGCAGCATTCTGTTTATCTGCAGGTTTCAACCATGCCCAGCACTCACAAACTCTGAAATCTGTCACGCAGCAATTGATAAATTTTCCTACCACCTTAAAACAAGAAGCTGAGCCTTCCATTTCTCTCCTCCTGTATTATATGCAATTATTTAAGTTAAATTATCCTCTTCTTTTAAAGGTAATTATTTCTAAGGATATGCACATGAAAAAGAGAACACAGTGAAAACACAAGCACCTTAAGCAAAAGCCTGTTTTTCTTAGGAGAAAGTGATGCAAGAGAAGAGTAAGTGCATGTTTAATTCATCTCAGAAAGCGTGACTCCTGGTTCTTGAGGTTTTGAAAAGAAGGTTTTGAAAAGAAAGATTTTCTTGTGTTTAGAGGACTGTGTGTGCCTTTGGTAGCTCATTACAAACTCAGAAATCAGGAGGAACCATGAAATTAAATAGGATACATTTCCTCCTCCTGAAGAAGAGAACTAATACTGCTTCATAAAATAAACACAATGAAAATACAAGGTTGAAGGCTTAATAATGCTCCTTTTATAAGCGAGCCTCAGGTGAATAGCCTGGCAGACCTTTATTATATTAACAGTAAAGAACTCTATTTAAACTGCTGCCTCACAAATCTGATGCAAAGTAATTTCAAAATATAGAAGCTCAGCCTTATCCAAAGGATTTTAGTTTTGAGAATAAAATGGTGTCCTATTTTTCAACAGAAAGACAAAAAAATCTAATTCATGTTGGCCCTATTTCCATGACCCTTGTAACTTAAATATTTAATTTTTATTTTCAGTGTTCACTTTCATTTATTTATTCAGCTTCAAATCCATATGATGAAAGGGCAGGAAAGCTCATATTCTTATTCTCTAGGTAAGCCCAGATACTCTAAGTCATATGACAAATAATGTGTAATACAAGAAGTCAATCAGTATTATTAATAATGGGACCGTGTTTGCCATAGTGCATGAACAGGGGAAAAACGAATACAGCAAGACCTGAAAAGCTTATTACTCCTTGTTACATGCACTGCCACGGGGGCAGAGTTTAAGATGTACAAAACACCAAAAGCAATCAGTCTAAAGTCAACACTGTGAAAGGCAGAGGAACATTTTATCTGCGTTTGGGAATTCAGCAGAGAGCGCAAGGTCCCCCTGAGAACAGAGAGGCAGAGAAGCAGGCAGTGAATGAAGGAGCTCCTGGAGGGAGCAGGGCCAGTTCAGGGACTCTAGGCACTGACCTGGGCCTGAAGCAGCATCCTGAGATCCAATCCGTGTGTCCTTCCCCTGTCAGGAGGATGTTCCCATCAGGGAAGCCCCACGTCTTCCACAGGCGGTCATCGCCGCCGCTCAGCACGATGTTTTTTCGGGGGTGTAAAGCCAAGCTGAAGGAGAAAAGAAAGGCAGGTTATGTTTTGTACCAGTTCCATTTTATGTGAAATACATAAGAACAATTTAACTCAGGGCAATAGCCCCAGGAGTCTGATTCTTTAGTTCCACTTAACACTCAAAAAATGCTTTGAAATACTTTGTTAGGTCATGCTCTAACAAACATGCAAGAGGGTAACAAGCTGCACCAACATGATTAACTTTCCTATTTATCCAAAATAATTCCAAAAAGCACCGATGTCAGCCTGTCCCCAGTTGTGTCCACAGGTGTAAAGTCTCCTACCACTGTGAAATAACTCAAATGATAACTACAGTCCAGGAGCTACTGTGATTGCCAGCACTTTATACCCCATTCACTGGGACTAGGTCAGAAAATTCATTCCAATTCTGTACTCAGAATGTGTTCCATGTTTTCATTTTTAATATGTAGCACACTGCGATGTAATGGAAATCATACACTTAACACGCCCCTAGACTGAAAACTCAGTTTATTTTTGATTTAGCAACTGCAGTGCTGCTTAAAATGGATCCAGGGAAGAAAATCAATCTGTTGGAAAGATAACAAGTAGTGTATTTCATATGGATTTGGTTATTTGATTTAAATCATTGTAATGCCTTACTATTTGTTGAACATCAAAAAGTTTTAGTAGTTGACTTTAGTCCCAGGAGTGGCTTATTTAGACAGATTAGATCTGGAGTTCAGAATCAAACTGCAATAATGGGGAGAGGAATCACAACCTGTGTGTGCACCTAGTTCTGCTGTGCATCAGAGGGCCGACAGCTTGGAGAGAAAAATGCTTATTAAAGCAGAATGAGAGGAGAGAGAGACAATGCTAAGCACCCAAATGGGAAGAAAAGAGAAGACTTAGAAGGCACACTATCAATCTCTTTTTTTATTAGTACCTTTCTCCTGCACTCAAATTATTTCACAAAATCCTAAACCAGAACCACAGCATCTACTATACTGGGAAAAATAATTCCCTCTATCAAATCCATGCTAAAAATATACTTATGCCAACTAGAATTTCATCAGAAAACATCTATTCTTGCAGTTTAATGCCCAGCCTAGGAAGATTCCTACAGACTCATCAGCTGAATCCATCTGCTTGAGCAAGGAGCCTGGGATTTACTCATTCTCCAGTTTCTTAGGAAAAAATGTTTTCTATCTTTTCCTAAAGAGGATAAACTTCCTCTGCATTTATAGGAAAAAAGAGAAGGAGTGAATGATGCTATTTAAATTCTCCAGAGATGCCCAGGGAGCAGTTGTATCACTTAGATTGGCCACAACAGATATCTAGAAGAGCAAGAGGGGAATAGAGATAAAAGGAGAGAATTAAAGGCTGAGAGAAGGCACCAGTGGCCTGCAAATTACAGGATGAGAAGAGCTGTTCCAGAATTCCTCTATTTGGGAGACCTCTGAGGCACCAACAAACCCATTGCTGCTATCTGAATGTGCACACAGCTGACATTTCTCTCTTAACCTGCTTCAGACACTTCGGATCCCTTCCAGCTTTTCCCTCCAGATTCTTCTGCTCTTAGTGGGGGCTGTTGTGAAGCCTTTCCATCAGCTCTCTTACATTCTTTCTAAAGATCTGCCAGCTCCCAAGGTGCATTAAACAGCCTAAGATCACCTTCAGTTCACCTTTGATGCAGAGAAAATATTACCTGGTGTCTTCCTCTGGACCCTGACTCTCCTGAACAATCCTTATGCCCTGGCCATGCTGCAGCTGTGCTCTCATCCATCCTGCCCCAGCTCCCAGGAGCATTCTGCCTACCCTCAACCCTCCCAACACACTTCCAGCCCAACTTCTGAAATGCTCAAACTTCTGCAGCGACCAGACACTGCCATGGAGCTTTGGGAAAATCCATAAAGTGAATTTAATACAGAAGAAAATATCTTGCTGTCTATAGGAACGCTGCAAATTTGTTTTTCACAGTCTTTCCTTTAAATTAAAGAGCTTTTGTAAAATGCTGCTGCCGTCCAATGTTTTTCTTCCTCCACGCCATTTTTACAGGCACACAGTGAACATCATTTAATTAACTGCAAATTTGTGACACAACTGCTGTTGAGCTGCTTCTGAGAGAGGGAAGCCCATTCATCCAAAAGGCATTCTATATGCAGCATTAATTAGGCACCCTTGTCTTCATTTCTGGCAATCCAGCATTGTATAGATTTTTGCTTCATCTCTGTTCACAGGGTCTAATTATTTCCAGCACAGAAGACTTTGGGTGGATTGGAATGGAAATCAATAATGGAACATGTGTGATAGGAACATTAGTTTTCTCCTCCTCCTCCTTTGGGATAAAGTGGGATCAGTGGAGACTCAGCCAAGAAAAAAACAAACCCAACAAAAAAACCCTCTCAGAGATTTGCTGCTGTTGAGTATATAAATACCCTTGTTTACACAACTCACTGGGGCTTTATAAGACATTCTCATCTCTTCAGCACTTGCCATGGTAGATATATAGTACTCCCAGTAATTTGCTTTCAAAACAATCATTGATTATTTTAATTTATTTTGACTGAGCCATAAATAAAAATACAGTATCTTCAGATGCAAACTACTTTCAGTCTCAGGATGTTCCACACTTGAGCACTGCACACATAAAATCAACCTTCAGGTCAGAAAGTGCTGCACCCAGAGCTGCCTGGGGAACATCAGCTGGGTGTTTAATACAGACATTAACACGAGGGAGGGCAGATCTCAGATCCATGTGGAGGAAAACTTCCTGGCACCAGGGTTTCTGAAACACTGGAACCAATGCATCATCTCAGCACACCCTCAGGTATTACCCAGGTAGATGGGTTAGGAGAGGGACTGGTCATTCCACACACAAAACTGACACTGCTTGTATGTGAAATAAAAACCTAACCTAAATTGTCTCAAAATTAGGCACTCACAGAATGAAAAATGCAAAATTAACGACCAGCTTAGTACTCCTAAGTGACTTATCCAGCCTCACGCAGTTTCTCTGTGGCAGGAACAAGGACAAAATCCATTTTTCTATGGAATCACATTCAGGATTTATTCAGAAAAATATGTTCTCCATATAGACAGCATTCAGCTGCCAAATTCTAATACAGCATTGTACTGAATATTGCTTGTGATATGTAATTTTTAGAACTTCATGATTTGATCAAATTTATTTGCATTCCCAGGTACTGGCAAAGAGGTTTCTTGTTAATGCCAGTAGCTGCTGTCAGACCAGAAAGCTCTTCTGCTGCATTTCTTGCTCCAAAATATGAGAGTGGCAGAGTTCCTGCAAGATTAAAAATAACCCCAAATGCAATTTTCCTAGCGACAGAAAGATTTCAGCCAACATTTTCTTACACAAAAAATCAGCCTTGCTCATCATACCTAGAACAGGAAATTTGGGGCTGAGAAGTTGTATTTGGGTGAAGTTACAACTGGCTGAAAACCTTGGTTTTGTAGTGGAAACTGTTGGGAAATTGCTGATATTTCTTTCTCTGCCATTGGGGCGGGTTTTGGAGGCAAGGACACGAGATGCAATGAATTCCAGAGGATGGATACTGGTTACAGTCTCAGACAAGAACAAAAATATATAAAATATATAAATAAGAGGCCATCAACAGCCCTACTGAAATCAGTGATATTGTTCACATGCACATAGTTATATTGCTGGACTGCACCCTAAAAACCTACAGAGTTTGTAAAAGCCAAAATTTTATTCCAGGCCTGATTTTGCTGGATGTGAGCCAGTTGTGCTGAGACAAAGGACAAATTAAGCAGAGCATTAGGAACTGTTCTTGTGGCAATGGATGTGTGAACTGCACAACCTGACCATGTTTTCCCACCTTGGAGCTCCCACTCAACTTTTGAGTTGTCACTCGGCCACTGCCACCCATCCTGGGCTCAGGAATAGCTGCTGGGTGTGTGTGGGATGGCAAATGCTCCCAGGGATCTCCTTCAAACAGGGACAGCCTGCACATTTATCACAGGGAAATGAGTAGGGTTCACACAACACAAGGGAAGGTCCATTTTCACCTCACTGCTGACTGAGGTCATGGAAATTCCCTCGCTTCCAGAGGGGAAAGGGAATGACAGGAAACACAAGATCACCCTTCTGCTGCAGCACATCCCTTATTTCCCTCCTTACCTACGTGCTGCTGGATGGGGATGAGGAAATCCAAGGTGAGCAGCAGCATCCTGAGGGAAGCAGGGGACCCATGGAGCCCAAACAGGCCAAAGAAAGGGGACAAACCACCAGACAAATGCTCTCAGCTAAGATAAACCTGCCAAGAAATTAATGCTAAACACATCACAACAGCCTAATCAATCATTCTGCCTGTTGCAACTCATCCTAACATGCCTTCTCTGAACATCATCTCTCTAATATTGTCATTTCTATCACCTTTTTTCTCTTGGCTTGAGTTACCTGATCTCATCTGACAGCATTCTTCAGTAATAATTATAACATTGACATTTAATTCAGGGTTTTATTATGCAACCATAGCATAACTGAATAGCTTGCATTCCTGTTCAAGGTCTTAAAATTTATCTTTCCTTGACAAAATGGAAGTGGGGAAAAATGCTTTCAATAGAGAAAATAAGAGCTAAAATAGACCAAAAAAAAGGATAAAGAAAAAATAAAACACAAAAAAAAATAACCACAAACACCAAAAACAAAAAACCAAAACAAAACCCTAACAAACCATTAAATAATATAAGAAAGGGAAAATACTCAGAGCACAAAGCTCCTATCTTTTGTTTCATTTATGTAAATGCCCATCTGGAAGTCAGTGATAGATCTCAGTCAGAGGGATGCATAAAAAAACCCTATCCTGTCTGCTGAAATTCCTGGCTGCTTTCCAAGCTCTTATGACTCAGGATTTGGGAGGCAGAAAACTTGCTAGAATCTCAACACACCTGAAGTTAACCTTCTAGACTGCCCAGCAGACCTTGGTAAACCCTAGAAAATAATGAGAAAACAGTCTACCAGAAACTTGAACTTGTATCTCCAGAGGCTGAGCAAC